AAGAAGTTTTCATTAATAGAATTTAGAGTATGACATTAAGCTATTGTTTATTCAGATTTGTTGTTCAATTTCGAAAATTTGCAATTTTTGTCATATCGTTTGTTATGTTTACGATCTAGCTCATATATATAATAACATATTGAATGATGTGCAGAATTCATTCAGATTCATGATGTGCTGAAAGAATTAATAGAAGTTGATATTTTACTAATTAAATCTTCATTCACACAGCGAACATGCTGAAATGCACTCACTCGCAGCAGAACGCAAGCCGAATCAGAAGTGGCGTCTGATAATGATGATTACTCGAACAGTTCATCAAGTCAGATTAGAAGTACTGCTGACTTGAGTAGACAGCGTTGTACTGAAGTGGTCATACTCAAATGGTATTTGCATGGATGCCTCGAGTTTTTCTCTGGATATATAGATCCTTATATAACAATGATAGAGCTCGACGAAATGTTCCTTCTTATTCGTGATGCACGTTTCTTCAACAACGTTTGCTAAAAATATTAGAATATCATGGTAACTTATTATGTATTTTGATTATATTTTTCGATTTCCTAACTGAGATATCTAATTAAAAGAAGTATCGTAGTCAAGAATTAAAAATGAATGGTAGTTGTTACGTAGCCGACTATTACTGAATGTAAGGGCATAGTAATCTATATGTTGGTAATCAGGAGCTGGACTGCGTTTCGATACTGATTACCATAATAAAATTATTTTCACCCACAGAAAGTTTAAACGAATGTCTGACACGTTTTTTGAAACCCTTGACAACTGTTATTTAGGATAGAGAAATACAATATTTTATATGGAAAAAAGCATAAAGCTGTAGTGAATATTATATATTTCTTTCTTCCTTCAATTTAGTATGGGTCATACGTTTGTTTTCTTTTTTCTTGTTCTATTCAAAAGTTACAGGTAAGTTGTGAAAGCTACCCGGAGTTTCACTTTTATCGAGAGAATAGCAGATAAAAAAGTTTTCTTCACAGTCATTCCTGTTTTGAAATTCATCCTGCTCTGAATATGTTCTCACATATAACATTCATTGTTGGCAAAATCTCTCGTCACCACAATGAAACAAAAATATTTTTCTCTTTAAAGTTTTGCTTAACAGCAGGTTTTCACATGACGACGAGATAACTAAATACTACATTTTAAAGAATTTTTTGAAAACCCACAGTCATCTGTACTTTTTCTCTATTTTTCTTGATATTTCCCGAGTAGCTGGATCTTATCTTTTGGCGAAGTTTAGAAGTGTAGATTCATTTTATCTTTCTGCACTTTTATGATTGAAATTTAAACATATTGTTTGAAAATTTCTAAAGAACATTCAACTTCCCTCTCTTAACTTGATTAAATCTCAATAACAATTATATTGTTACCAAGAAGAAAGAGAAAAAAATTGCATCGATCAAACACGTTTTAAGAGTTTAGAACTGTTTAGGTCTTTTTATAAAGATTTACTTCTCACAGGGATATTTCATACGAGCGAATGAGAGTGAGAATTTTTCAAAAGCGAATTGAGTAGATGTTGAAGGAGATTCTGCACAATGACAGGCTCTTTGTTTATTTCTTCAAACGAATTGCAGATCGAACATTTTTTAAATGGAATTAGTTTTCTCCTTTTTCAAGCAATTGCCATGCTCGTTTACACATTGGAAAACAAGCCCATCGGAACGTAATCCTTCATCTAATGATAAATTTTCTTTTTCTTCTTCATTGACGTTCCTTTTTCTTTCTCGGTTCGTAAATCGTTCGAGAGTTTTATAGTCAGATCAGAAATGGAGCACTCAACATTGTCTAATGTGTACGAGATTTTTTAAAGACAATTATACCATTTTTTCGATTACTTATGTCAAATATACGACGTTATTTACTAACCTAATGTTCAAATAATATGCAAATATCATGATACAATTATTTACTAACGCAGAAACGACAGAACGTTAATTTGTAAAAACAGACAGATGGGCAATTCACGACTTTTTCAGTCACAATCAGGTCTCATGAGGGAATCTCCCGATTCCAATAATTTGTACATTGATCGATAGACCTCGGCGAGATAGTAAATACCCTAAAAGGATTCGGGTTCATGGCTCTTGAATATCCGGTTTTCTAGAAAACCAGTTTTCAAGAACTCTAAAATATAATTAAAAACCATTTTTTTAATGATTGTAGTCTGCACATTTCTGATTAAAATGAGACATCTTCCAGCTCTACACAACCTTTTTTTGCAAAGTTACAGAATTTACAAGAAAAGCCCTATATATTCATTATTAGCTCAAAGCTACAGAAACAAGAAATTAATGTAGGACTTTTCTTGTAAATTCTGTAATTTTGCAAAGAAAGGTTGTATAGAGCTAGGAGACGTCTCATTTTAATCAGAAAATGTGCGGGCTACAATCATGCTTCATTAAAAAATGGTTTTGATTATTTTTTAGGGCTCTTGAAAACCGGATCTTCGAGAGCCATGAATCCGAATCCTTTTAGGTATTTACTATCTCATCGAGGTCTATCGATCAATATACAAATCATTGAAATCGGAGGGGTACATCTCGGAAGGTTCCCACGTCTGTCATGTTCTTTGAAAATCATCAGTCTCAGTCACGAACAGTCATAGCGATTTTTTTTTGAGTTAGGTGATTTTCTAGACGAAGTGTTCTTTCATTCATTCAATTTTTCTTTTTTATTCTGATCGTAGTATGCATCTCTTTCTTTAAGAACTAAATGTAACAATGTAGAAATATTTTTTCTGATGTTATTAACACCACAAATAGTAAAATGAAACACGCTTTCTACATCTTGTACTACAAAAATGTGAAGAATATCTTAATCGAGACATTTACAGTTATATTTTAATAGTGTAAGAGTAGAAACAGTATTTTTAGTAGGAATCAAACTAGAAGGGTTACGTTGTGAAGATATTTTGAGAAACAAACAATCGGAATTAGACAACGTTCTGGCTCTGTGTGAGAGATGTGATCTCTCACGTTTATCGTACATAAATGGTGTAGTGTACATATACAGACTATACATCATATACGTATTTCTTTATCCACTATGTACAGTTATTCACTTTTTGTCACTAGGCATCTAGCAAAAATGAAAATATCTCTTCTAGCACAAGATTGCGATATATATGACGTAAAAGAACGAGAAAGTAAAAAGAAGACGGTCGTCGCTCTCCTGTTGTAAACGCTGCAGTGTAAAGTATATCTATCAGAATAATACATAAAAATGCCTGTTCTTTCTTTTTGTCGTATCTAAGCATATAGATATCCTTCTGTTCTTTGTCTGTGTTGTATTTGATAATGTATTTGACAATTAAGTGACAAAAGAAAGAACAGGCCTATTTATGTATTCTGATACGTATACCTTTTGAGTAATCCTAATTTCTGTATTCTGCAGTGCAATGTTGTATCTCTTCTGTAAAAGTTAAAAATGACTATTGACAACTAAACAATGTACTTTCTATTTAAAAAAAATCAGTCACAGTACACAAAAATGTCAGTCGTAGTCGAATCTCAGTCACCAAGCCATCAGTCTCAGTCAAGTTTTAGTCTCGAAAAAAAACTCATCAGTCATGACTGAGACTTGCCCATCTCTGAAAACAGAAGTGTCACTCATAGAGTATAACGTCTGTACCAAATAGTCAGATACTTCCACAACTTAACAGGTGGTTGATTAGACGCTGTAACCAAGTGTTTTTAGATTTAATACGTACCGGTAATTTGAAGAACTTCGAATACTGGTATACATTTCACAAGTTATTCGTTCAGATACTTATTAAATATTTGAATTTATAAAACTGCTGCATAAGTACCTTTAATTCAACAAAATTCCAGATACTTTGAGCATTATATTTCAAGTACTTTGTAAAAATATATATTCACTAGGGGATTCTTGAAAAATCATAACTTTGAGAATCTGATCAAACGACATCATTACCATTTGTTTGTTGGATTCGAAGTTCCATGATAAGCCAATCATACAATGTCTTACAATTTAATTATCACATTGTCACACTGGAAAAGAAGCTCGAATAATGTAATTTGCTTTGATGTACGAACAAAAAGTCAGATATTGTTTATATATCAAAGGTCGAGCAAAAGTAAACGGTATCTAAGTGATAGATTATCATGGACTGAGCAGTAGACAAAAGATAAACACGACAAAATCTGCTGGATAAAAGCATAAAGCAGCTCGGAAATTTACCATAATCTTGTCCGGTTTAATTGTTTTTGTCAGTTTACACGTAATTTAGTCCAATTTAACTTTTCCAGGCTAGAATATACAGAAAAAAGAATATCTTTATCACTAAACACAATATAACCCGATTTTTCTAAATTAGAAGTTTGTCACGTAACAGAACCTGAAATCTCGTGACACGTGAAAATACCGATAACTTCACAGCGAACATTTTTTATCTAAGCGAATATGACATATATATATAGTCAGAAGAATCTTGTTTTTGCTTGTATCGTATATTTACAAAAATGCTTCGTGTGAACTGGCAAGACATTTTTTTGAGCAACAATGAGAGTGAACTTTCAGAGTATGTCAAATACCACAATGTTCCTAAAAAACGCACTGAACAACTCAAGAGAAGCAGAACAATTACATACAGATGCTCTCAGTATGGAATGTATCCATTATAGAAGTATCAATTAGTAAAGGAAAATTCTCATGATTATACATTCGCAAATATTTTCCGGCTTATTACCCAAAGTTCCTACTGGAAGCGACAGTGACGTTTTACTTAATTAAAAATCGGACTATATTGTGTCTGTTGATAAAGATATCACCCTTTTTTCTTTATATTCTATTTTGGCTCACTGTTTTTGCAACTTGGATTTATTGTAGCTTTTTGTATGCATGAGTGATTACTTTGCATAGCATATTCTAATCATAAGATAGAGTATATATTTATTCTAAATCCTTACGTACACGCATACGCTCACTTATAAAGCAAAACGAACAAAATAAGAAAAATGGCTGCTCCACTTCCAGGTTTAAATTTAGTTGTATTTATGGGTTCCACTCGTATTAATCGTTTGGGCACTCCATTATTAAATTTAGTTGTGAAACAATTGAAAGCGAGAGGACATAATGTAACAACATTAGATGCGAAAGAAGAGAAGTTTCCATTACTTGAAAAACCATATCATCATTATAAAGGTGGAGATGATAAAGCTCCAGCGTGGTTGGAGAAATGGGCTCAGATATTAGGTGCAGCTGATGGCTATGTTTTGGTAGCTTGTGAATATAATCATAGTCCAGGTCCTGGTCTGTTAAATTTATTAGATCATTTTTGGAGAGCTACGTATGGTCATAAGCCTACCTTTATATGCTCATATTCAGCACAATCGACTGGTGGTGCTAGATCAGCCTATATATTAAGAAATACGTGTGGAGAATTAGGCATGATTACAATTCCAACT